TGATGAGGGCCAGGAGATTGGAGCGGACGACTTCACTGGTCCGAGTACGAGGATCCCGAAATTCTCTATACGCCGTGAGGCATATGGTCAGAACAGTTTTGTTTAGACAAGCTGCAGCGCTCTCTCGACAGCGAAGGTAATCGACTGCCCTCTGCATCACCCCACATTTCTGGCAGGAACACCAATCGTTATTTCGTCTTCGACCAGTGAAGTCGTCCGCTCCAATTTCCTGGCCCTCATCAGGCTGCGCTTCTACCAGGGGCACCTCAGGGGGTCCTTCAGTATGTCCGCAGTTGTGAAGCTTGGGAATGTCGACCAAACATCGTTCTTCATCACCAGAAAATTCAAACAACTAGGATCTTCAAATGCAGAGAAAGTTGAATACTAATCACACGTGACGTCATCAAAACCATCAAAAGAGGAGACAAACTTGGCCCTCCCTGGCTTCATTATATTGACTTTTTGGGTCTAGTTTTCGCGATTTAAAAAAATAATAATAATAAAAAAATGGGCAATTGCATATCGGAGCTTGGGCCATATAAGGCCCCCATGAAGAGAACACACCACCGAAAAAATTCCCGGAGTGCCCCTTTAATCATGATTACATTGGCTCACTATTCTAGTTATCTCTGAATGTACTAATTGTTGCAGATTGCCAAGAAAGCGTACAGCGATGATATGACGAACAACAAGCATGTGTTACTGCAAGAGCTGCCCAACAAGGTCTTTGTGCTCAACAAGGCTGCTGACCGCCTGGAGGTAAGTTATTGTTTGTATGATGGCCGATGATGGCCGATGCGCTGCCAGCCTTGTACATTTACTGTGCTGTTATTTCTTCGTGCCGCACTTCGTTCTGGGCACACTCAGCCCGGGCCTCTCCACCTGTCCTTGGGAGTGGGACCGAAAACTGCCCGTGTCTCGTAATAAAATCGTCGCACAGAACCTCAGCGTATAGTTCTGATCCACTGTGCTGTCCCCGACAGGCGAATGAGTGCAGTGTAGATCTAGGTGTTAGTGCGCTGTGTAAATGGATGGAGTAATGAGTAATGACTCAAATGTTTCCATTGATTCCACCACGAAACCGTGGCAACAGGCGGAAATAAAGACTAGCACCTCTAGATAGGGCTATTAAAGTGCACTCGGGATCAGTGCTGGCATTTTTGTAGAGAGAATTGCAAATCTATTTCGTCACGATGCTGGAGTGCATGTACACACTCTCGTAATGTTTGGTTGACAGACTAGCGTATTCTCTGGAGTATAAACTGCTGCACTTTAAACACCAGTAATTCACACAAGAAATGTCGGTGCTGCGTAGGCTTGTACTACCATGGTAAAATCAACGCTGGTAAATAGGGTAGATGTCTGTATTTCGTGACCAAAAATCTGGGTGCGGCTTAAACGCCAGTGTGGCTTAAACGCCAGTGTGGCTTAAACGCCAGTGTGGCTTAAAGGGGAAGTTAAGGCAAAAATCAAAATTTCACCAGTTGTAGTCTTCGGGGTGCTGAGTCGAATGGTCTTGGTCCGAGAAAGCTGAGACGCTCCCTTCCTACTTGAATCCCAATCGAACTCGTGCACTTCCACCGAAACTGGGTGACTGCGCCCTACTAGATGGGGATTTGTATGCAAAATCTCACTAAAAGCGCCATTTCGTTCTTATAAAAGCACGGATGACCGCGATTGGCCCATATGTTGTAGTCTTTTGGATGCTGAGTCGACTGGTTTTGGTCCGAAAAGGCTGCGATGCAGCGTTCCTCCTTTATTCCCAATCGAACATGGTTGAACAAGCGGTCACGTGCTCCTGCGTACACCAGTCACCTGGTCACCGTGCCTGCAGGGTACAACTTACTAGCCTGTTTGACCTTTTTTGGGTGCACTCCTGTCACTCGAGTTGAACTCGAGTTGAACCTTGGTGTGAAATGTGTCGCCTGCTGGCGTGGTGACCAGGTAATTTGGGCACCCAGGAGCACGTGACCACTTGTTCAACCATGTTCGATTGGGAATAAAGGAGGAACGCTGCATCGCAGCCTTTTCGGACCAAAACCAGTCGACTCAGCATCCAAAAGACTACAACATATGGGCCAATCGCGGTCATCCGTGCTTTTATAAGAACGAAATGGCGCTTTTAGTGACATTTTGCATACAAATCCCCATCTAGTAGGGCGCAGTCACCCAGTTTCGGTGGAAGTGCGCGAGTTCGATTGGGATTCAAGTAGGAAGGGAGCGTCTCAGCTTTCTCGGACCAAGACCATTCGACTCAGCACCCCGAAGACTACAACTGGTGAAATTTTAATTTTTGCCTTAACTTCCCCTTTAAACGCCAGTGTGGCTTAAACGCCAGTGTGGCTTAAACGCCAGTGTGGCTTAAACTCCAGTGTGGCTTAAACTCCAGTGTGGCTTAAACTCCAGTGTGGCTTAAACTCCAGTGTGGCTTTTATGCTCGGGAAAATACGGTACTGTAAGTGTACAGTGCATCAGCCACCATACACAAATATCTTACCTCCAGTGGGGTTTATTATTTCAACTACTCTATGTTCTTCTAAAACAGACCAGAAAACACCACAGAATGATATGCGGGGACATCACATTTCCCCCTCACTGCAAGGGGACTTCTTCAAGGTAGAGAGAGAGGGGGGGGGGTCAAGCGAGTGTCGCCGCACTTAATTAACATGGTTTTGCTGCACACAGCTGTGAAATGCAGCACAAGATAATGAATATTAGATAAGAAGCACACAATCATACCCATAATTATTGGGAGACAAACAAGAATACAGACCAGAGAATAAGTCAGGAATGCAACGGGGGAGGGCGGGGAAAGAGAGAGGACACTTACAATGTCGAGCAGCTACAAGTCGCAACAAAGCTCATGGAAGAAAATAGTCCACACCAGTTACCATAAAAGCTTTTCAAACTTCTACTGCAGGATTACTCCCCAAGTTGGGTTGTGTGGTATTCAAAAAAGCAATCAGGGTGCAGGCCCACGTTGCAGAGGTTGCATTCATAAACGCTCCTGGCCTTCGGCTTGCCCTTCTCCTTGCAGAGCATGCAATCCCGTTGCGGTGTAGTCTTAGTTGTTTCACTTTTGACCCGCACAATGAAGTGCTGACCAACAGTGCAGTCTGGAGGCCTTTCAATTGCCGCTTGAGTGGATGCCTTCCGCTTCCGACCACTGCTTGATCCGGTTTTCTTCTTTCCTAATTCCACCAGTGACTCGGCAAGCTGCGCGCGGAAGTCAGCATGCGTCATGGCCGTAGCGTTAGTTGCCAATCCGGCCATCCCCAATTTGTGTATGACGTACGCATTGCATATCGCCGTGTTGATCAGTGCCCAAAAAATGGGATGCCACCATTTGTTGGACTTCACTTTCGTCACATAATCGGTCCGGAGCTGGTCTGCGACATCGACCCCGTCCGTAAAATGGTTGTAGTCGTTGATGACGTTTAGTCGTGTTCCGGGTGACTCTACTGTCTTCCACTGGCCAGAAGCAGCATCATAGGCGGGGTGCTTCCGGCTGTACTCAACGTTACATTGTGTAGGACGCGGTGGCCAGTTGTTACCATGTTGACGGGCTTGCTGTCAAAGACGCTCAGTGCGACTACGTCTCCACGGGCAGCCCACTTCACAGTGCCTTTCTGGGCAGCACGGTCAGCTTGCCACTTGGGTGTGTCTTGCTTCACTTGATCAGGCACTCTGTTTGATCTTGCAGTGCATGTGTACACGTGGCCGCTCTTGGGCAAGAGCAACACTCGAGTACAGGTTGTCCGCAAAGATATGATAGCCAGCAGAGTACAGGTTGTCTGCAAAGATATGGTAGCCAGCAGAGGGAAGCATGGATGAATGATAGAGCACGGCATTAAACGTCTTTGCCAAACCCTGCTTCATTTCGGGTATCAACGGGTCGAACTGGAACACTGTAAAATATGCATATCCATTCGCGGGATCACATATTGAAAAGGTCAAGAAGCCGTCTCCAGCTCGCTTGAACTTGACACGTGATTTCAAAGACGACCGGCCTTTAAATGGAATGTCCATCTCATCCACGGACACCATTCTTCCCGGTTGGTAAAGAGACGTCGAGTTGTCTTGCACTGCATCCAGCAGAGGACGAACAGTGTACAGTGGGTCATGATTGGGAGATCACCGAGGCACTTCTTTAGTCCGGTCAGCTAGATGCATAAACCGTTTGATTTGCTCAAACCTCGTGAGACTCCTGGCTTCTCGCATCTGAGGCATGCTGTGAGCGAAGCTGTCCTTGTAATAGTGTTTCATGGATGGGTGGTATGGATGCAGAGAGTTGCAGACAACCATACCCAGCCAAGCGCACAGTTCTTGCGAAGTCAGTGGTAAATATGGTCTTCCATGCTCCGCAGCACTTTCTACAGCTAGCTGGCTCTGGTAGAGATTGGTTTGCTTGGCGATGTCTGTTACCATTTTATCTGGCACAAACAATTTGAATAGGCCAAGGGGATCCATTAGCTCTTCTACCGACACATTTTTCCTTAGACTTAGCGACTGACTGGCGACTGCTGGAGAAGCGCTGGCCGGCATTTCCTGCTTCCAGCCAGAATTGATCGAACCCACGTGTGGGTCGGCTGGTGCAGAAACGGCAATGGCGGAAGCGGCAGCTGCGACAGCCGCTGTCGATGCTTCGCCTTCTTCTTCAGGAGCATCCGACGCTGCTGGAACATCGACATCATTATAATCCTGAGTCGACACCAGGTCGCCAGGAACATTCTCATCACCCGAGTTCGTCTCCACTAACTCAAGTTGCTCTTCCTCCATTGTGAAAAAAACAAACCATAGATGTAGGGTCTAGAATGTTTGCGCTGCACTAAAACTAACCGTACTCGAAGAAAAAAATGTTCATGGTCTTCAGCAAGAGAACCCTTCGTACATTCTACGTATGTGGGCACAGGCGTCTAGTTGCCATAGCAGCCAAGTGGGCTCTCAAGAGAGCTCAAGATAACGCGCGGGTGAAAACCCTATAAATAGGGTTTGACAACAGGCTAAGAGCTATATAGCTGCTCTAGCACGAGTCCATAAACAGGAGTATGTAACTGTGGTCTGTTTTCTATGGGCAGATGCATGGCCTATTCCATCATGTGGCTGCAGTCCACGCACTGCGGAAAACACCACACTTTCCCTCTGGTTTCAAATGAACTTTTTTGTATGGAACTGAAGTTCATGCACGGTACCCCTAATTTAGGTATCGCGTTGGTAAAAGTAATGTTTGCACGGTCGCGCTACCACCGGCTATTGTGTGAGAAACACAACCAGCTTAGGAAGGTCCGCTTGTACCAGGCCACCGCCATGCCTGATTAAGCCAGAGTCACGGGCAGATGCGGCGCCTAGTGGCGAGGGTGAGGTGGTAAGTCTCACAACCTCTGCCCGACAAGGGGGCGAACCTCGTTACCTGCATCCATGTTGTACATGTACTGAGTAGTCAGTTGACCTTGTGTGTCAGCACGTTGTTCACTGCATGTAAAGTGGCTCACGCATACAGCACCGCATTTTTGTTCGCACAGCGCAGATCTCGAACTCGGGACCTTGTGATCGCATCGATAGTGTAACAAATTGAGCAAAAGGGGATGTGCTGAGATTGCGGGTTTGAGTGCTTGAGTACAGGCACTGCGTTTGACTCGCGGGCTGGATTTCTTTGGTCACGATTGTAATACCAAGCAACAGCTCGAAGTATTTACCCGTATGTCCGCGCCATGGAGGTATATTCGATTAAAGCCAGTCTCAGTGGATTATTACTGTAGCTTTCATCCTTGTGGTCGCACCTTCTGCCTTCACCGTTGCTTGTTTGTTGTTTCATTCCGTATCGTTTCCTGCCACTTGCATATACAGTGTTATTTTGTCCTTCTAACTCAGGATTTTCTAAAGTTGTTTGATTGGGTATATGTAGCCAGTGCTACATAAGCTGCTGGTATAGACAGCAGTAGGTTAGCCGAGATTGGGTAAACCATGTCCTTTGCTGATGCATATGTATGCCTGTGTGTCATATGCAAGAACATTCACACAAACAATCACACAAACACGCACGCACACACACACACGCACGCACACACACACACGCGCACGCGCTCACACACACACACACTATGTGCTGCTATACAATGAGCTTGAAGATGGTTTGTATGGAGAAGTGGCCGTATCTTGAAGGTTGAAAAGTGGTATAAAGACATTTGACCGATAGAGCGTGCGTATAATATCTCGTATCCATCATGTATTCAAACATAGTTGTTGTGCATTGATGTGTGCTACTGTATTCTGCCCAGATGTGCGTGGGTGATGCTCATATACCTATGCAACATGTCACATCAGAGCATATTCGCAAAACCGAGGCTCTGAGAGCCGCTGGTGGACGCAACATCATGTGTTCAGCTCCACTAGGGACGAGTGGCGGTGGCGGCAGTGTAATGGGTGGTGTGAGTGGCCGTATTGCAGCCGGTGGCAGTGGCGTGGTGTCATCGGCTGCCAAGACACACCATGACGCCTTCACTGGTCACGGTCATCGAATGACCGAGCATGTGAGTCTGCATTGCTGTACTGTGCGCAAGTGATGAAATGATGTGAGCGAATGTGCATTGCTGTACTGTCCACTAGCAGTGAAATGATGTGAGCAAGTGTGCATTTCTGTACTGCCCACTAGTAGGAGTAATGAATTGATGTGAACTCGGGCACTCAACGTGAACTCGCGCATCTGCGTACTCACATCGACACATTACATTTCTGTCTGGTGGGTTTCATTTTCCCCGACAACTACTTCGTATTATATTTCGCTGGGCAACACGTGTGCAACACAGAACAATTCTGTGCCAAATATGCACATGTAAGTTCATAGGTACGCGAGGCTTCGCGCAAGTGTGTAGTGGACTGTGGTGACGTTTGTGGCTGGACCCTTGGTAGTTTGTAAAAGTTGGACGGTGTGTGACAGCCGAGCGTTCTTACTGCTTGGCGGCGAATTTTCTTCAAAGTGTCGACTGGCGTGGTCTATGTTGTGTATAGCGTTCACTTACTACTTCTGTATTGCCTGTTTTCTCTGAACTGCAGGCACCAGCTGCTACGGGCCTGTCCAGCCTGTATGAGAGATCTCCACGTTCTCAAGGTTTGTCTACATCGTCGTCGTCTTCAGCTGCACATGCCACAGCCCTGCGCCACTCTACAGACCAAGCAGCAGCATCCAGGCAGTGGTCACTACCAGCATCTACGACTGCATCGGCCTATTCTTCACAACCAGGCGCAGCAGCGTCTGCCACATCAGGAGCCTCCACAGATGCGCATTCCCCAGTGTTTTCAAGCCAGACAATGTTCCCTACTTCAACTGTTGGTTCTGCTGCTACACAACATAGTGGAGGAGGCGCTATCCGTCATGCTGCTGGTAGAGGCAGGGGACGTGGTGTAGCATCTGCTGGTGCTGTTGCTGGTGCTGCTGTTGGTGGTGCTACCATAGCCTCAGCGTTCGCCTCCGCCGACATGCCCATGGTGCAGGAAAACCGGGTACGCGTATCTCCCAATGTTAGCCACACCACCTGGTCACCGGATTCAGCTAGCTTGGTCATGGAGGTTGACATTGCTGGTGTGTCATCTCCTGAAGACTCGCCACCCTGCTCCGACGGCAGTGAAGGCGAGGAAATTGCCTACAAGGAGGAGAAGCCACGCAAGCGCCAGTTCAAGTCCTCTCCATCGTCGCTTGTAGTTCATGCCTTGGAGCAGCGTATTGTTCAGCTGACGGAACAAACTAACATCCTACAGGCTAAGCTGGTGCAGTGCTCAGATGGACGTATAGACGTAAGTAACGACTATTTCTAGTTGTACTAGTCTCCGTACAGCTAGCCGTTTCGACCTTGTTAAGTCTGTCACTGGAGCTCAGGGTGACTATGAATAGAGACTGAATAGTGACTTCCTCTTTGTATGTGATGCCTCTGATGTAATGGGGAAGGCATATTGATCAATGATGGGATGCCTCGTGAAACTCAGTCATGCCCTTTTTTTCGCACATATCGAGGGAATCCCGAATTTGATGAATGATGAGGGAAAATTGATGTTACTGTTGTTCATATAGAATGTTTACCTCTCTTTGTTTTGTCTTTGTCTTTGTAGGATCCTGTCAATATGGAAAGGAAGAAACAGCTCACTAGGCAAATGGTGAGTTAGCCTTGAAGTGTGTTGGTCTCTTTTATTATTTGTAGCATTCTATCCAATTGTTGAGAATTTTTCCCCTCTCTGTCTCTCTCAATTTCCCGCCCGTACTAACTTTGGGGCAAGCTAATTTTTTTTAACTTGTGGAGCCGACTTGCACGTAATGTACAAGTTGGTTGTTTTTATCCAGTGGAGGCATGTGTCCATGGTATATGTACATTGTACATTTAATAATGATGTACACAAGGCTGATAGCTGTGGTAGTTGGGTTTTGAATTGTAACTTTTGTTTGTAAGTTATCTGTCTCTAGGCCCTGGGGAAAATCCCGGGTGAAAGTCTCAAATTTTGCTGTGCAAATTGCGGTAAAATAATTTTGTCGAAACTTGAAGTGTAAGTGTGATTGTTTATTATACAGGGAAACTTTTCAGTGGATTGCACAATCTACTGGTTTGCCTGACAGAGAAAGCTGTCTCTCACAAAAAAAACTAGATCCATGTCTAAGTAATGCACTGCAGCACATGTTTCCAAGAAATCGTCTCCTCCGTGGAATCAGGATTTTCCTCGAAGACGGATGTAGTTATGCTTTGCTCTGCTTTAAAAATTACTTTCTTTGTTGTCTTTCCACAGGCCACTCTGCAGACACAACTGGATGATTTGCATTCTCAACGTGTTGAGCAAACCCAATTAGCATCAAACGCTGCAATTGTGCCAGTAGATTCTGTCGAATCCGACTCGCTGGACTGAAGCTAATCACAACTGACACGACACAGTCTCTCTCTCTCTCTCTCTCTCTCTCTCTCTCTCTCTCTCTCTCTCTCTCTCTCTCTCTCTCTCTCTCTCTCTCTCTCTCTCTCTCTCTCTCTCTCTCTCTCTCTCTCTCTCCTACTTGGTCCACTGCGGGGATGCATTGTGGTATTGATGGCATTTGATGCAGCAGGTCTAGGCCTGGGCCTGTGATAATGCAGTTGCGTGACATGTTGCCTGCTGTATAATATAGCATAGCGTACTAGTAACATTTGCCGGATAAGAGTGAACAAAATACACCATGAAAAATAAAATGTTTGCATGCATATCCCACCCACATTGAAGTTTTATTCTCTTTTTGATGTTCCTTTCATTTCCCCCCATTTTTCTGCCTACGTGTGGTACTAGAACCATCACCGGCAATCGTCCTTGAGTCTTTTGTTTTGTGTGTACATGAACAACCGTACATGGTGCTGTGCCAATATTGCTTGTTGCTTGCTTATGCCGCACCAACACCATAACATTCTCATTATTTGTTTTGTAGTGTTGTCTACCAAATGTTTTAAATCTTTCTGCATCATAATTACATTTCAACCATGAATTTATAGAACAACTGCTAGGTGAAAACTACTAAATTTGCAAAAAAGTAACAAAATGGCTGCCATATTTTGTGAGAAAGCTGATTAGGCTGGGCAGGCCATTTACGGCAGCAGAAACCCCCAGATTGAGGGGGGGGGGGGTATGGCCTACAAGAATTTGGGGCACGAAACAAAAGGAGAGGGGGGGGGGGGGGGTTCTGTCACACCAAAATTGCCACCCTTTTCGAGTAGGTTAAAAAAGTTAGCAGCCTTATTGATGGAAGAAGGCGAATAACTAGTAGGGTAGTGTCGTTCCTCTTCAAAGTGATGCAACTGCTTTGATTGCTGCCTCTTGAATGTCCCCAGCGGACGTGATGGCAAGGCCACTTTCCTCCAGCAGCTGACGTGCCTCTTCAGACTTGGTACCTGCACATACACACCACCACCGCCAGCAGCACCAACCGCAGCAGAAGCAGCAAGCAGGCACACACAGAAAATGGTAGATGCACATACATACCAGAGACCTATCAGAGCATACAAGATGAACACATGCACACCAGGGTTGTAGCCAGGGGCATGACAACCCATGATTAGGACACTGAAAGCAGCTGTACGACATGTCCGTTTAGAGAAAGTAGTGCATGCAGGCGACCAGGCTCATGCGCCTCTTTAAACAGGCCTGGTGCGAGGTGTGAGACAATAGCAAAAAACGTTATGTTGTAACGGTATTACCGTAAGGGGGAAAATACCGTGATTTGGTTTCGACCTTTAGCAAGATGCACGCTATTTTTAGTACGCTGTTGCCACGAGAATAGCTTTCGTTTCGCGCGGTACAAGCATTTATGCCACCAGCATATACGTGATACAAGCATTTATGCCACCAGCATATACGTGATACAAGCATTTATGCCACCAGCATATACGCGATACAAGCATTTATGCCACCAGCATATACGCGATACAAGCATTTATGCCACCAGCATATACGTGATACAAGCATTTATGCCACCAGCATATACGTGATACAAGCATTTATGCCACCAGCATATACGTGATACAAGCATTTATGCCACCAGCATATACGTGATACAAGCATTTATGCCACCAGCATATACGTGATACAAGCATTTATGCCACCGCATATACGTGATACAAGCATTTATGCCACCAGCATATACGTGATACAAGCATTTATGCCACCAGCATATACGTGATACAAGCATTTATGCCACCAGCATATACGCGATACAAGCATTTATGCCACCAGCATATACGTGATACAAGCATTTATGCCACCAGCATATACGTGATACAAGCATTTATGCCACCAGCATATACGTGATACAAGCATTTATGCCACCAGCATATACGTGATACAAGCATTTATGCCACCAGCATATACGTGATACAAGCATTTATGCCACCAGCATATACGTGATACAAGCATTTATGCCACCAGCATATACGTGATACAAGCATTTATGCCACCAGCATATACGTGATACAAGCATTTATGCCACCAGCATATACGTGATACAAGCATTTATGCCACCAGCATATACGTGATACAAGCATTTATGCCACCAGCATATACGCGATACAAGCATTTATGCCACCAGCATATACGCGATACAAGCATTTATGCCACCAGCATATACGTGATACAAGCATTTATGCCACCAGCATATACGTGATACAAGCATTTATGCCACCAGCATATACGTGATACAAGCATTTATGCCACCAGCATATACGTGATACAAGCATTTATGCCACCAGCATATACGTGATACAAGCATTTATGCCACCAGCATATACGTGATACAAGCATTTATGCCACCAGCATATACGTGATACAAGCATTTATGCCACCAGCATATACGTGATACAAGCATTTATGCCACCAGCATATACGTGATACAAGCATTTATGCCACCAGCATATACGTGATACAAGCATTTATGCCACCAGCATATACGTGATACAAGCATTTATGCCACCAGCATATACGTGATACAAGGTGAAATGTGTACGGACTACTGTAAACCGGGAATGATTATTGCCATGGTCTAATTTCTGCGAAATTCGCGACCGCGCGGAAATCGCGAAATTTAGACAGCACGAAAAGGAGATCCATGGAAGGTGTAGCATGAATGCCACAGTAGCAAACTCTGCAATCGCAAAATTAAAACCTCGCAAACCTGTCCGGATTCCGAAAACGCGAACTAAAAACGCCGCGAAAATTTCACGCTTTACAGTATGCAATATTTGGACAAAAAACGTACCGTTTGTCACAACGATAAATCAGCCCCCATAACGTTTTTTAGGCTGCATCTTCAACGCTATTTGGGTGATCAAGGTACGATTAGCGTAAAAAATAGCGTTACCGTTGTTTGCTAAGGGTGTCTATTGTCATAAGTCTGGGCAGTCAGCCGGGAATCAATATCCGTCATGTCAGGTGATTCATGTGCATGCACTTGAGGTGAACATTGATAACATACCTGCTAAGCGTACAACTAACGGCAACTTGAGACCAGTCTGTCGGCAGGCTGAGATGATTCCATTTGCAATGTGCCGGCAGTCCACAATACCACCAAAGATATTTACGAGAATAGACTTGACCTGGACGTGGGAGAAGAGTGACACACAGAAAAGCACACAACAAGTGAAGATCAGGATTCTGAAGAGGATACTACTGAAGTACAGTGGTAGCGACGTCAAATCCTATTCCAGAAGTGGCGCGCTGGCACTGCACCAATGCAGTACAGTCAGACCTCGCTTATCCGATCCTCGTTTATCCGGATCCCTCGCCATCCGGAAGAAAATCGCTGGTTACCGATGTGCAGCATATGTTATGCATACAACATAACTGGACCTCGCGATCCGCATACCGGTGCATGATTTTGTGTACGAACTGGTTAAAATGTGTACAAAAAGCTTCGTCGTATCCGGTTGCATGTGGCTTGCAGAAGCTAGAATCAGGGAGTTGTACAAGCAAATGAGGTCCTTGACATGCTGGGTGCATGGGGACAGCACTCAGTTGCATGCACTTGTCATTTTTCTCGCTTGTTTTACATACTGGGCACGCTAGTTGTACTGCATAGGACCTGTCTACATGTATGTACGATGTCACTGCTTCTGATATGCCACATGCATATACAGTATGTGTGTTCAGTTATCCGGTTACCTCGCCTATCCGGATATTTTTGTGGAAAACAGATGTGTGCGGTTAAGCGAGGTCTGACTGTAGCACGCAACAACATACCGTAACGGACGTATAAGCACATGCGCTTATAAGTGAATTTTTGCTACGAATCCAATTTTCAAAAATGAAATATTTTCACCTAAACGTGCATGTGCAATCAGAGTTCGTTTGCCAGAATCTTTGTGTTTGACTAGGTCTTGTAGTGTCAGTTTCATGGTTCCTGTATGCTGTTTACAGACTTATATCCGTGATTGTGTCAAAGTGATAATTCTGGTAGTGCTTCGCTTACAAGAGTATGCACTTGTAAGTGAGAGTGCGTTTATATCCAAATACAGGCGCATGTGCCTATATGTGCGTTACTATGGTAAGCCTCAAAGCATGGGCAGTGAGTGCATGCATATCTGCAACTGCTGCACTGTATGCATACACGCATGGCGCATGGTGCTGTTTTTAAAATAGTCACACTATGAACATCATGTCATGATCAGGGAGAGGTTGACAGTACAACACTTACATACATGTACACACACATAGAATGCCATAATTATAGGTTAGTGCATGGCAGGGAGGGCCTTATGGCTTGTTAGTGCCCGAAAGGTTAGCCTGAGGGCCGTAGGCCCGAGGGCTAACCTGAAGGGCACAAACAAGCCATAAGACCCTCCCTGCCATGCACTAACTATTTTAGAACGAGGTTACATGCATTATCTCACTTCCATTATGCTTGTGTACCAATATATGGGGTAGTTTTGTGGTTTGTGTGCAGAGAGACTTGGTGTGGTATGAAAGAATATTTTCTTCTGGTAAGCTATGGTAACTCAGCACCACTTAGGACTACTAAAAGTAGAATGGAAGCAAATGAAATGCTGGGCTCTTATTGCGAGCTTCATTCTTATTCATATACATGTATGTAGCTTGTGGAGCTATTTAGGGGCTTTGAGAGCCCCTTGTCGATAGCTCTAATGACTTTGATCCTCGCTTTTTATAGGTTTCCGCAAGCTGTTTACAAAGAAAATTCGTACAGATGAAAGAATACGGGAGGCAAAAGCCGTACACACTTCTGAATTGCGTAGCTTTTAGTAGTACACCGTACACGTTATGCAGAGTTCATTATCTGCACCGTACTATTATGCAAACAGGGAGTTGTACGCACCAGTTTAGAGTATATTCAGCGGGCTTTAAACTAATCCAAGGCCCTCGACGCGTCATCAAGAGTAGTAAAATAACGATTGAGCGGGCTTTAAACTCTGATAAGGCCCTTGGCGGGAATGTCGCTGATTGGTCGTTTCCTGGACAACGAGACAGACCTCGTTCTAAAAAATATTAAAAATGTATTTATGGCTATCAGCAAGATCAGTTGTGCGGTCACTTTCAGTGACGACAACCACTGAAGATACTCACAAGAAAACGTTCAGGTTACCTTTCATTGGCCTTTGTTGGAACTTGTTTGTGTTGCAATGACAGCACAACTTATCTTGCTGATAGCCATAATTAAATTGTTGTCACCATGACGTTTATTTATAAAAAAATATCTTCACACCTTGCTGGCACGCCAGGGACATGCACACTATTCGCTAGGATTTGTTTTAGCTCCGCAGCATTCGTACATGATAACCCAGGGGTCGCATTCCGGTTGATAACACTGTGATAGTAACATTTACAACAGGTCGCGTTCAGACAGTCGTGGGAAACCGACAGAATGGGAAAGTTGTCATGGTAACATGGTCACGTGTTATCTACTTCCTCTGGAAACCAAAAAACTTGTGAATTGGGTGAAGGCTGTCAGTTCTTGTGAATTGAGCTCTGAGGGATCGACCTGTGGTGGTTCCAAGTGAGATTCAAATGGTGCCAATTTTTGTTGTATAATAGCGCACATGCTTCAAACAAGTAGATCCATTCATTGTCTTGAAATGTTTATGTTCCACTCAACCAAATGGCCTGAGCACTAGAACTCTTTAGAACGTGAATATAAAGTCGTGAAATTTTTTTTCTTTCCAGAGGAAGTACTGCTTGGCATACAGTGCAGTGCAGTGTGAATGGTTATCACAGTGAGTTTCACACCGCTCCGTACTGCTGTGTGAATGGTAATCGCAGTTTCACACCGCTCCGTACTGCTGTGTGTTCACGTTAGTCTGAACACGCTCTGCGGAAGAATGGCAATGATGCGGCAGGAGCAGAATGATAACGCACCCTCCCTCTCTGTCCATACAATTAAAAACAAAGCCGGGACCACTGCACACATGTGAAGTTGTGCTCAGCGAAACCCGACCCAAAGTGAACACTTGGCGCCCGAAACTTGCACAGCCCTTGTATTGGTATAAATGTGGTTGGCCGTACACATGCAACAATGCGGTGATGTAATCGCAACTGGTCTAGGGCACCGGTTTTGCTCTTTGGGTCAGATTTCGCCGAGCGCAACTGCACATCGAGCACAGATTAGCTACAACCAAGAGTTCATAACCCCAAGAGTGTGCAACTGCCTGCACAACCTCTATGTAGTGCTGCGACGGCAGAACTTCACATCACGTGACATGGTTCAAAAGGTTACACTGGCAAACAGTGCAAAGTGACCACAAGAGAGTTGTACCCAAAGCTGGGTTGCGTACAACCCTGTATCAATCATGCACAGAGTGCAAATAATGTGTACGGGTTCATCACGTGATGTGAAGTTCTGCCGTCGCAGACCCCATAGCTGGAGTTGCACACTCTTGGGGGCTATATACTCTTGGTACAACCAAGAGTCCATAACCCAAGAGTATGCATTTGTGATTATGGGTGCATGCGCGGCGCGCTGCCTTCATTACGTAACTTGCCTTCATCACGCTCTGAAAGCATGCATTCAAACTCTCAATTTCTCGCACGAGCCCATCCGTTTTTGCTCGATTCGTTCCAGTACCTACACAATCTCTGAATTCTGGCGCGTGAACTCCAGTTCCGTACGAAAGTTCATTTCAAACTGGAGGGAAAGTGCGGTGTTTGATTTTCCGCAGTGCGCGGACTGCAGCTGAATGATGTAATGAAGGCAGCGCGCCGCGCATCTGGCCCATAGAAAAGAGATCACAGTTGCATACTCTGGTTTATGGACTCTTGGTACAACTGATACAACGCTGAGTGGTGATCTCACACCTCAAAACCTATTCTCCGTCTTTCTTCTGCTACTTACCTTGGGATCACTGGAGATGATGTTGAATGCCTCAGTCACTTGATGCTCCTGCACTCCGCCACCCACATCGAGGAAATTGGCCGGATCACCTCCATGCAGCTTCACGATATCCATAGTGGCCATAGCAAGACCGGCTCCATTCACTGAAACCACACAAAACAGCAATGTTCAATGAGTACAATCATGTACAAAATTGAAAATGTAAAAAAAAAATGAAAGGACACATAGGTACATGTACGAGATATGAGTAACTGTCCACCACTGCAACAAGATATAGAGAGGTTCTGCGAAACGAAAATGCGTACGAATTTTCGCGACGGGCCTTGTGAAAAATTGTGCGAATTTTAACTTTATGCTCTGAACATTTTCCCAGTTCGCACTCGTGCACGTGCACATGGTGAACCCAATGACCACTTTCGATCTCACGAAACTTCGCATGAAAATTCATTTCGCGTTTCATGCAAGTTGAGAAAGTTCGTGCGAAGTTTCTCACTTCATGATGCAGAGCGAAAGTTTGTACGCACTTTCGTTTTGCAGTACCTCTCTGATGAGAAGTAAGAAAGTGTGATAAAGTGTGAAAACTGAGCACAAAACTGACAGACTATGGAGGCATTTAGCGACCTGACACTAGCTCCAAGCCTCTAACACATCTCCAGCGCGCAAACCAACAGCCTTCCAACTTGGAAGGTAAAAAGGTACGGTAGCTTAGGAATGAAGAGGGGAAGGTGCGCACAGAGAAAATGTGCACAAGGCAAGTCCCACAGCAACAAAGAATGTTCAAAGCAGCAAAGCAACACACCACCCAACTCGGGCGGGTCAGAATAGATCTCATTACAGTGGTGGACAGTCAATCATAACCTGTACCCATGTGTCCCTTCATATTTTGAGCACATGTACATTCATGTACAGTACTGGAAACTGAAATCCGACCTCCTGAGCGGTGCGCTCACATCGCAAAGACCCAACACGGGATGGTAAAACTACGAAACAGAGACCGCTAGAATGTGAACCCACCGCTCAGGGGGTCGGATTTCAGTTGCCAGCACTGTATATGGTATTGTGTGGTCTGCCAAGCCATGGCACAAAGGTTCCATCACAGCTGGAGACAAGAAACAGCAGTCTGTCAGCCGACAAATATCACACAGAGAGTATGTCTACAGTAACTACCCATTGACTAGCCATCCACAGCCCTACTATTTAGAGTTTGTTTCAATGCCGTTTCCGTTCAGGCTGCACTACAGTACACAGGCATGAGACAAATGTTTGACATCACTGTCCAGACATGACCAGTTCTGCTTGATGAAATCTGATCGTGTGAGTCCAGTTTGCGTCCTGCATCAGTTTACAGCCCAGTGTTCACTAGTCTGGGGCTGCACAGTGTCCACTGGTCCGGTGCTGTACAGCACCCGGCGTGACATTGCCTCGCATGATGGGATTTCATCGAGCAGCACTGTAAGATTTCTACCAATGTCAAGCTCACCCAGGCAGCCAATGTTTCCGTCCATCTTGATGAAGTTGAGACCACAGTCGGTGGCACGCACCTCCAGAGGATCATCCTCAGCCGTGTCCTTCAGTGCATACATGTCCTTCTGACGGTAGCTGGCATTGTCATCAAAGTTGATCTTGGCATCGAAGCACACCACTGTACACCACCGCAAGTAACAAGACAGCAGTGAAAGTGTACTTAGAAGTACTACTACTTCGAAGTAATATGTCTGCAAAGAAATGCCTCCGGATGGCATACTGGCCACATATCTAACACCTATGTACCATCTACATCTACTAGTAATTGTTCACTGGCAAATGTATGCATGGCTCAACTCCCATGTAGAAAGAATATCTTCCTGCTTGTCTGCACATGGTTGCCATTTTCTAAAGTAGAATGAGGTGATTGGAGATCTTCTCTTAGCAGGATAGTCTGTAAGGCAACAGTGGTCAGATTGTGTGTAGGGCAACAGTGGCCAGACATGCTTCACTTACCACCACGATCAGGACTCTGGCCGAGTGGGTTGATTTCTACTTGTGTGGCATCTTTCTCCAAAAACAACTTGTATAGCTGCATCATCTGGTGGCACGCCTACAAGAGTATGATAAAGTGCAAAGAGAAACATCTCCTTTCACACAAGAAACACAGAAACCTGACAGAATCGACCACAGATGTGACGGCGATGATCAAAATGTCATCTCATTTTGATCACTGTAATACTAGCGGCTGATTCTGTACACACACGCGCATGCACGCACCCACGAACGCACACACACACATTGTGTCCAAAATGATCCTAGACTGCACGTTTGCAAACAAGCAAACAAGGATGACACCACCACTAACTTTTGTAGTCAATGGTGATGCGTTCAGGAGAAAATAGCAGGAATACCAGCAGTAACAGCAGAAACAAACTCACACGCACGCACACACATACACACACGCACACACATACACACAGATACACACACACACAGATGCACACAAAACACACAAAACACACACAAACACAAGCATACGTAACATACCTGCTCTCTCAGTTCACCTTCGAATCCAAGATTGCCGGCCAACTCTAAAACCTTATCTTTGCTGGGACCTTCTTTAATGTCGATAGGAAGCTGCAATGGACACAAAAAAGAATTCCAGTCAAACAAAACATTGTTTTAAAAATATTTCAAGTGTGAAGCGAAGAGCAACCAATAGGAGGAGATAAAACTAGTGCAAAATCCATCTCTCCAAAAGAGCCAGGACCAAGGGACATGCAGTTCAATAACTAACTCCATCAACAAAAAGGCACGACAAAAAGGAAAATTACTACGACATGAGACTGAGAATATCACTACCTCAGGCACACACTCACACTCACACATGCGCAAAGAAAAGGTGCGTATTTACATCTAGCGCGGATGGGAAACTATCACTTGGTTTATAAGAACAAGCGAAGGTGATAGAAATGGTGCAAGACTCAAGACAGTTTCTTAGCTCATTTTTCATGTATTCCGCTGATGAGAAAATGGGCAGAAAAGACTCTGCACAACACTTGACTGAGCGACGAAACTAGCAACTTTCTTGCACTGCGTTGGCTTTAAAAAAAATTACGGCGGTACAATCACGTTTTAGGTGGAAACAGAGCTCCTGGCCACTCAATACAGGAAATTTAGAAAATTCACCGCTACCATACTGCACTCTCTATCAATCCATACAATTCATTCGTCATTTCTTGAATACATCACAGTCGCCATAGTAAGTATAACATCAATGTACAAAACAAATTCAAGTACTACTCAGTAACTCTGTGTGCTGGTCACGTCACACCAATATACAGTAATAGCAAGAGTATATAACCCCCCAAGAGTGTGCAACTCTGCATATGGGGTCTCCGACGGCGAAAACTCACATCACGTGTCTCACATACGCTCCGTACTACGTACAAACGAAGGATAGCGTGCACGCAATCCGAATATCTGCCATGATCATGCTGGGGATTTGCATACGCGCAGCGAGTTTCTGTCAGAGAAAGCTTTTTTATTACTCCGCTGCTCGCTAAAAACGGGCTGGAAACATACAACTGTGACAAAGGGTATCATGAGTTGCACACTCTTGGGGGGGGGTATATACTCTTGGTAATAGCACACATCACTATGCACAACCAGATACTAGAGACGGTGAGATTGGCAATGAAATGATCACAAACGGTGACACAGCCAGTAATGGACCATCCAGTCGGTGATGGAGTAGGTTGTAATTGGGCTGACTGAGAAAGGAGTTTCCAGTATCAAAGCCTACTAGAATCTGCTGTATCATAACTCACTGTGAAGATCTGGTCGGGTTTGTGCTCAGCCACCCACTCAATGTCCATGCCGCCCTCGGGACTTCCGACCATGACGGGACCACCCATGCCACGGTCCAGGATGATTGAGAAGTATGTTTCACGCATGATGTCCAGGGCTTCCGCCACCATTACCTGCCATTGGAAAACAACAACAACAAGAACAACCACAACGACGACGACGACAACAACAACGTGAGAATAAAGATTTGAAACAACAACGACAGCAACAACAGCAACAGCAGCAGCAGCACCACCACCACCAACAACAACAACAGCCAGTCACCTCCCCTGTTGTGCTTGTGCGCCATCACCAGTCTAGAACACAATCGATATCGGCCGGTCGTGACCTCGATCAGATCCAAGTGATGCAGACGCTACGGAGCAAGCACAATTTGCAAATCCCCGGGTGAAGGTGCACCCAGTTTAGTAGACTAGTGTCTGGGTGCTGTGTGATCGTCTGTGTGTGAGTGCTACAAGGATCGGACCTCAACACCCTGTACACTAAACAGCACAATAGAACCTGGTGGTACATACCCGCGATACATCCACACCTTGCTCGCCGGTCTGTTTGGTCACCAGCTTATAGCCGATCATCTTGGATGAGACATCTTCAACCTCCTCAACCCTGACAAAACAGAACATGACAGAGCACAGCAAGACATGTGCTTAGATGTGTAACTACCGTATTTTGCGGAGTAAAAGACACACCTAGATATTTGTCACGAAATACAGACATCTACCCTGTGTTTCACGATTCACTCGACCATCGTAGTATAAGCAGCATCGACTTTTTGGGGTTTGGGGGTGAATTCTGAGTGTGTACTAGTACTAAGTGCAGTGTTCCATATTCTACATTGTACTTGAGGGTCTGAACAGCATCTCCAGAAGACAAATAAAAAAATCAACGGCACTGCGAATGTCCACTCTTTATCCACAGCAAAAGGACACGACGCAGTGCCACCAACATTTTAATGTTGTTTCCTTTCACATCCAGCAAAAACGACGTCACTAGGAAACGAGTGCTAGTACTAGTAGGGTGTATACAAAAATCTCTCCTTCCTGCCTTGCATCAGATCTCAGCTCTGTCTTGGTAATATAATGTCATACCATCACAAAGAACTAATGCCAATATGCTACATGTAGTGATGAAACCTAGTGCATGTACACCAGCAGACAGGCAGCGGCAGTGAAGGATATTCATTACTGCGCCCAATCAGAGGCAAGGTCTCCTCCTCCTTCGGCACTAAAACTAGCACAACCTTGTAGGGCCAATCCTTACTTGTCAACAACCTTGACACCACCCTTCATTCCACTGCTCAGCATTCCCTTGCCACGGCCACCGGTCAAGACAAGTGCCTTCACAACATACTGCTTGGCACCATGTTTAGCTGTACGCACACAGACGCACATCCGGATACACACACACACACACGCGCGCGCGCGCGCGTGTAGAGTCAGGGCAGAAATAGCATGTAGACAACACACAGAAAAACCGTTCATGTGGTTCCAACCTTGGTGGGGACTTAACATGTACACATTTTCTACCAAATTAAATTGGCCTCTCTTCCGTATTTCAGTATAACCATGGTCAGTTTTCTCCGTGCACCGTATCCTTTCCTCACATGGTTGCATATCTGCTATTTCTTCTCTCGCCCAAGTCATTAGGCACAAAGCGAATATATGGACTCAAGTATTCCACCAGTTTACGTCAAACAATATGCAGTTGATGGCAACAAGGAGAGATGATTGAGGCAACTTCAGATCACCTAAACTGTTACGAGCAACTCAGGATGAAATTTAGAAATCCACTCCATTAATTTCGGAGCAAGTAGAAACTAAAAAAAGTCATCGACACGGATCTCAAATCTTGACATGCACACGAAAGTTGTCGTGGATGTTTCGTGAACTCTGTGCAATATCTCTTGACTCTGCAATGACTTCTCCAATGAAGCACGATCTGATAATAAATTCGGTGCACGTAGACAAGTAAATTTCTTGAATTTAGCTGATTTCCATGGACATGCTTCTAAGCACAGGGCTCATATTAAACGTGGTGTGTATATACAGAACATGCAATACATCTCCAGTGCAGTGCTGTTGTGCTGTTGATCAGGCTGATAGGACAATTGTCAAATTGTCAATTTCAAAATTACGAAGTCTCAATTCAAAATAAATCAGTATAGAACTAACAGAGTAGATCTTCGGCTACGGTTTTGGCTTCCTGCGCATTGTGGGCAACGCCAAATCGCTGCACAGCCACATCGTAGTTGTGTAGAAGCTGCTTGCTGTCACTCTCGTGCAGGTTCAAGCATCGTACACTGACACCAGCTGGCACCTAAAACAGCCAGCAGCATGGATAACCACTCGAGTTATGAACGTGACAATTGAACTTGGGAGAGATCCAGACATCCTGCTGTACCTGAGGCCTTTGCAACTGGCCAGAGAGAAGGCGACGACCCAGAACACGAGCAGCCATTGTTGCACTTCTGTTTTCTGCAACACATGCACAATTTCGATCTTCAAAAGGCACCAAATCTCACCAAATCAATATTTTCGGGAAATGCCCTACTTCATGCATGTCGATTCGGTACAAACCACCATGCATGGTGTTGCGTGATAATGGTGTGGCCTCAGACCCAGACTGTAGTCATCAAAGGGGAATATCGTAACATTACGACTCCATCGGTCGCGACTTTCTACTCCGATCCGATACTGCACGTACTGGGCGATTATTAGTAGGGAGGTTTAGTCCCACGTAATCCGTGGGTACTTTACGTGGGTGTACCACGTGATACTCAGTGACCCACGTACAGACGTTTTCTGTTTCACGACTTACCGTGTATGGAGGCTCACCCACGTTCCGCCAGAACGTGGGTGAAAATCAGAATGGAGCGCATTGTGCGAGCTGTGAGGGTGCTCAGCTGAAGAAGTTTCCGAAGCACGAAATCAAAATATTCGATGAGCTTCTTAGGCCGGGGTAGCTTCGTCTTTGACCAGGTTTTGACCTTTAGCTTCATGCTTTTGTTTGTTCCGTGTGACTAAACACAACATTGCAACGTGGGTGCCCTTCATCCACTTTACGTGGATCACCCACGTACGCGTTTCCGTTACGTGGGAACTAAACCTCCCTAGTATTAAATATTAGTACATACATTTTTTTTTTTTTTTTTACTACAAAGCACTGGCCAGCAACATAAAAGGGGAGGTAGACAAAGTGGACAAGCGAACATTGACAACACAGATGCAACTCTTGTTAGTACTCGTACATGTAGATCTACCATACCAAGAGTCCGGGGGGGGGGGGGGGGGGTTATCTTGGATCTACGTACAAGTGTAGAACTCATAATCAAAGCTATTGGCGTATTGACTATTGGTTGACAGCATGAAACAAGGTGGAGGCCCTGGAGGGTGTCCTCCACCTACATGCAACTACTGGTACATGTATGTAAGTCCTTGACCTTGTTTCATGCTGTCAACCATGGTCAACCAACAACATGCGTGAACCGGGCCAACCAGCTAAAACAAGGTTATATCAAACTACACGGTTATGTCATGGTATGACGACCATGGCATAGGCCGGAATGGGCATGGCCACAGTTCCTTTTTTCAAGTTTTTTGGCATGAAGCCTTGAAGGTAGGCCAGCGGGAAGGTCGGGTTGCCGTTGACGTTAGTGGAGGGTGGGGTGGCCATAGGCCATTGGGATGGTTATCGGCAACCAGGTGGTGGACTAGAGCCCAGTAGTAGCAAGAGTACAATACAGACTGTACTAGTAACCCGCGGGGTTATGTATAATCTTTCTTTATTTCAGGATTCAGTATCCATGTACTCTTGCTAGTACATGTAGATAGTACCCAGTGGGGAAAACATGATACTGGTCTCAGTGGTATGTACAGTCATGTACATCGAACAAGCTACAGCACACGGGGTGGATCACAGCCAGTTGTTCCGGACTAGCTACCAGAACTTCCGATAGTCTGGAGGTGCCTTGGACGAGGTTTGTGCTCCGGGAGGTCTACAGAAGAGACACACAGAGAGATCAGCTTCTACACAGTAACAGGCAGGGTGTTCCAGGGCGTGATGGCGAAGAAGGGGAAGCATAACAGGAGGTCACCAGTGGCTGTAGCTGTCGGAGGGAATGTCCAGACTACTGAAGCTGGAAGCCATGGTGCCGCGGCACCTGAAGTAATTGTTGTGTGCGCAGGGCAATTACGACTACGCCCGGTGAATGATGACCGCATAACACAAGGCGGAGGGCACACTGCATTGAAAATAGTGCTCCTGACTAGCGCAACTTTTGAACCATGCAGAGAACGGTGGGTAGGGTCCCGGTTTGCGACCACATGAACGGTATCTTTTCAAGTTCAAGAGTCTAGACTGAGCAGTTTATAGGAAACAGTTCATTGGTTTTCCTGGTAGCTCTCTTGCCCTTCTCAATCTCTGGACAGCTATAATTATCTCGCCGACTTGAATTCTCACTTGACTGACTCACGACTGCCATTCAGAGCACACGAGAAGTCCATCGAACCATCCACTGCGAGCTCCCATGTAATAATAATCTAGGGAGCAACACACTCTTCCCCTACTATCGCCGAAGTCGCACCAACCTCTTTTTTTTAGAAAGGAAAAGGACATATGGATACGAGTTAAGAGTAACTCTCCATCACTGTAACTGGATACTATATACAGTCAGAAAGTGCAATAACTAGGCACAAAACTGACAGAGTACTGAGACATTCGACGTCCTGACACCTAGCTTCAACACATCTCCGTAGCGCTAACCGCCAGCCTTCCAACTACTTGGAAGGTTCAAGGTTATGGAAAGACCACAGAGGTCTTTCCATAACCTTGAACCTTCCAAGTGTTCAACCTAGCCAATTAACCGAGCCCAATGGCCCGGACAGGCCGTGTGTAGAGTTTACTCTTCTGAAGATCAACAATACAGTCATGTTGAAAACAGGACTGTACAGTCATAATGATTATGTGTGTTCTGTACTACATGACTGTAGGCTTGTGACTGCCCATGGCTAGTGACAAGACTTAGTACTACCGGCAGTAGGTCACCGTCTAGTGTCACCACGAAGCTCTCGATCGAGAGTATTCAACTAACTACCACTAACAGTTCTGTAATAGTATACATAGTATACATGTAAGTAACATTAAATTTTGTTTCCAAGCGAGATTTGGTAGGTCTACGAGCTCTGGTCGCAGGCTCGCAATTATTTCGCCTCGGTCTTCCCTGCTGATATCCTGCTTCATGACAGTAATCTGGCCCATACATGAGTCGAGCCATTTCGAGATTTCACTGAATCCAGAGTCCAAAGTACTGGTCTCCCCTCCCTCGTTGGTAGACAACCCCGGTCGGGGGATTCTAGGGACCTTTCGCACCGAGTCCGAGGTTTGTCTTGTAACCGATGTCGTACTAAACTAAAGAGGGTAGACCAAGATTATACTCTTGGGTAGACCTGTAAGTGTAATCATGGTAATCCTGACAGGAGCTAGCGAGTCACTAGTAGTAGTAGTACTAGTAGTCCATCGGCCAAGTCTCAAAATCGAAAGTGGTGATGCACTGAGCTTCCAACTAAACGCGACCATACCCAGCACGTAGAGAATATATCAGTGAACACTATTCCGTTTGTTGGACGTGCCGAATTCAGTCCAGGGCGTCGATACGAAGCGTTCTTCGTCGCCGAGTTTTTTACTGTGCGCTCCATTTGAGAGTGCGCAGAGTTCTGATCGAGAGTTTTTTGAGCAGATTTTCAAATTTTTGAGGCTGTCAGCTGACAGCTGTCAACCCTAAATGGCACTTAGTATGTGACAGGCAATAGGTTTTGGTGCCTCCGTATGCCTTCTAATAAGTAAGTTCTATCTTCCTTCGTTTCACTTCGCTGCTTCGCCCACCACCTCAGGAGATGACAGCGTACCTGCACTAGTCAGCTCTCGCTAACCCTGTCTCTCTTTCTCCGTCTTAGCGCTCGTCATTCGTGTCCTTCTGCTGGGGCGAGCTTGATACTGTTGTGTCGTAGTTTTTAGGCAATAGTGGCTGTTGTTCGCGTGACGATCAGGATTTATGGAGAAAGACGACGACTCGCCAAGTTCCCATGCAGCCACAGACGGCGTAGCAATTCTTACCGCCAACCCTTCGAGCAACGGAACCGGCCTGAGTTGGAAATCGTGTCTGTGTAATTGTGCCACGATACGGATGAAACACACAGGCTCACATGTGACGAGATGAAGATAATCTCAACAGGCTGACGGAAACAGGCTCACGGGAACGCTGCAGTTATGGTCGGAGACGCGTAGTTATTTAGTCACTGGTAAATGTTGCATCGAGTGCTGTGTGCTCTAACACAATGGTAAAAATCATGAAAAAGCGAAAATAATGCAATGGTGGGGCTGAGTGGTGTTCTGTGGAGGAGACGTCGCTGTCTCAGTATTCAACGCCGGACCCTGTATTTTCAAGTCTGTGGTCATGCTCGATCATAAGTTCCTGTATGGCTCCAGTGCCTTCTCAGCATTGTTGGCGGGTAAGCACCTGGATCGTGTCCAAGTACTGCGGCTCTGGTGGCTTGAGGGATGTACGGGTACTCGCCGTGCACCCCTGCCGGCAATCTGCTAGTGAAGCTTGGTACCTACTGTGTCCGGGAGATTTTCATCCAAAAGCTGATCTTCCTAGGCTGAAGCTTTTTTTTTTTTTTTTTTTTTTTTTTTTTACGAGAAACCACGAACCTCGAGAACAGAATACTGCATAGTAGAGGTGGTTGCAGACGCAACTGTGGTGGTGAAAACTGGAGCATCTCCGCCGACCTGCTTTAACAATGCTATTCTCTCCACCCTTGACCAACATGCACCCATCACCACCCGCCGCCGTGCAGACCGGCGTCCATGTCCCTGGCTGACTCGCGAGCTGGTTGAGTGTGTCCGGAACCGAAACAGACTGCACCGCCGTCTAATGCAAGATAGAGCAAACGAGGCACTCCAGCAGGAGCACCGAGCTGCACGTGCCAAGGCCAGAAAGCTAGATAGACAGTTGAAGAATGCTTACTTTATGGATCAATGCTATACGTCTGATCAGAGGAAACTTTGGTCCGTGATGAACACTGTCACCGGACGAAAGAAGACCCGCCGAGTACCCCAGGTATCAGCTGACCAGCTGGGCGACTTCTTTGCAGATGTTGTTCATGACCCCAGTCGACCTACGCACCTACAGATGCCAGTTGGCCCTACGAAATCTGATGCCCTTACAGCCTTCCAACCTGTGTCGTTGTATGATGTCGCTAAGCGTTTGCAATGTGTGGATCCACATAAAGCTACCGGAAGTGATGGAATCCCAGGTATTGTGTTGAAACGTTGCTCGGACACCCTCTCCCCATACCTGATGAAGATCGTCAACTTATCTCTTGCGTCTGGTATAGTGCCATCAACTTTCAAACATTCTCTTATCAGCCCATTGTATAAGAATGGCGACCCACTGTCAGCTCGTAACTATCGGCCCGTCTCGCTACTGCCTATTGTTTCTCGCATACTGGAACACTTTGTCAAGAAACAGCTGACAACTTTCCTAGATGATCACTC